CCAATTGTGGGTAGTATTGAACCAATTGTGGGTAGTATTGGACCAATTGTGGGTAGTATTGAACCAATTGTGGGTAGTATTGAACCAATTGTTCTAAAAGGAGATTTGAAGATTCCGGAGATTCCGCCGATAAAGCAGCCACGAACAATGACCACCCGTAAAAACTCTTCTTTTGGACGCTCATACGCTTCTGTTGGGCAGCTGGGTTTCCGCTTCACGTGAATATCTTACTTCTTGATCCCTTTTCACGCTGGTTAAATAAAAGCTTCAAAGTTTGGAGTTGCATTCATTATTTCCTTGTTGAGCTGAAAACTCTAAAGTGCATGCCCTTACGGTTGTCCTTGAATCGCCCTTACTTCCCAGTGCAGAAATATCTGTAGCTTGGCTAATTCTGTGAGCAGTAGATCGCCTCCTCTCCAGCGCCAAGCCTCTATCACTTGAAAGTGTTATGTCAGGTGTCCTTCGTAAGACTTTCCATGCCATTCTTTTCAATGTGCCTCTCATTTCTTGGTTGGTAAAACAGAATAGACAAGGATTCACCGCTGAGCAACTGTACTGAAGGGACAAAGTGATTGGGTACACAAAAAGGGGTATGCTGCGTGCGCCTATGATTAGCCCCATTACGAGCACGACCATATGAGGGACCCAACAAAGGAGATACGCACCCACAATTAGAGAAATGCGCTTCGCTGCTCGGAAGTTTTTACGGATTTTTTCAGCGCTTGGACCCATCGCCGGAACGACGCGAAAAATCCGCTTCGCCTGGTTGGCGGCGATGCGATAGACAATTGTGTTTGTAGTTAACATAATGAACGCAGGAATGAAGAAACTTCCTACAGCCATGAACAGAGTGTAGCTTTCGACGTTGTCATTGAGGCAGACATGGCCTCGAAGTGCTGCAGGCCGAGCCCTCCAACCCATCAATGGTAACAGAGCAGCAACCAATGAATACACCCAAACGGTGCCTATGACTCCAGCGGTGGCTTTTGTTGTCGTGAATGCTTCGTATTTGAAGGGAAAGGCAATAGCAAAGAATCTCTCCATACTAACAGTACAAAGATTTAGCGACACGGCTGAAAGGCTGACTAAGTTCACGGTGGACAAAAATACGCATTGTTCGGCCGACTTGAAGCGAAATGTTCCCAGTATCAAGCCAATGTTGACTGGAATCACCATGGAAACGATCATTAAGTCGGCTATGCCAAGACTGACGATAAAATAATTGCAGATCGTTCGTAAACGCCGATTCATGCAAACAGTTGCGATGATGATTCCATATGCTGCTAGAGATGTGACAATGATTAAAATATAGAAAAAGGTTACCACGTTTACGTAAGGAGCGCTGTAACTGCTTTTCTTGGTACTCAGATCTGTACAGTTGGAAATTTCGTGCAAGTCGGTTGAGCAATTAATGTTGGACATAATGACGCGATGTTTGTTCTGTGCTCCTGAAATGAAATCAAAGGAAAGCATGAAAACTCTTCGAAATGTTATTTCCCCAACATTGACAGTTTGAGACACGAATCATTCAATCACTGTAGTGGAATTAGTTTTCCCTCCGACAGCCCATTACATTTCGCTTTGATGATGAATATATATTAACCTTTTTGCAAAATGACAGTTAGAAGTGGATCTAAATATCAGAGGAAGGCTATACAAAAATTACCTCACGCCTAGAATTCGTACATCGAGGTATGGATAAAGGCAGGAGACTTTAGAGAGCACGATCGCGAGAGCTGGATAAGAGCTGTTCGAAGCGCAGCCGGGACTGATTCGAAGCGCAGCCGGGACTGATTTTAAAAGCTTCAACTTAAGTGTTCTCCAAATTTTCTAAGTGCCACATTGTGCAAAAAGCTAAAACTGAGCATAAACCAATTATTTTTTGACTTAGTGGATACAAAAGTCGCTTTTAAGCATTTGGTTAATCTTAAATTTTCCATTAAACATCTTTATACCAAAACATTTGTCAATGCAAAAATTCGCTTTGAAGAACCCGAGGCCGGTTTTGATTTTGATGTTGCCGTTCACATTTGCTGAAGATCGGCCTTGAGAAACTTGCAGTTTTATCCTGCGCGACTACCACAAAGTTATTTGGACGGACAAAAATACCAGTAGAAGAAGACTCAGGTGTGCTGGTGAAGGGGCCTTGCCGCGAAACTGGACGGGAATTTTACCAAAAAAAAAAATAAATTGCACGCACTATGTTTTGTTTGTACGGCGGTGCGTATATAGGGATGTAGACCGTGCTGGCTTAATAAGAATTAGATAAGACACAAGCGTCACCTAAGGACTGTTTTTGAAAAAAGGATCTGCTATCGCATAGCTCAAAGTTTCAATCCTTTAAAAAATTTAAGAATTGGAAAACAAATAATAATAAAAAAAAACAACAAATACCTTAACTCCTCGACGTTTCCTTTAGTTATACTTTTTCATATGCATCACCCGGCATGTCCCAACTGTAACTAAGCCAAATTTTAAGAGGAAAAACTAACGCATGCAAGATGAACGTCATTCACTACAACCGTTCACACATTCTGTCGAGCGTAAATTGTTTTGCTATCATTATTTTTTCCTTCGTCAACAGGATAAATTTCACTTCCTTGATCTTCGCCGATACAACTTCGAAATTTGTAAACACCCCACAGTTTTGAATATTAGATGAATCGGTTTTTGAGGCAGTTGATATATTAACTATTGGGTCAACTTTCCTGGTGGGATGATAATAACGCATTGTTAGTTCGGACAGGTGGAAAAGTTTCTAAAATAACTCATTATTTTGAATTGGTGTAAAAACTCAGTTTTTTTTATCTCATCAAAAAGACATTTGCAATCATTTTATATAAATTACATTTTGAGTAGTTCTGCAAAAGCTTTCTAACACGTTTTGAGGGTAATGTTGTATCGCATGACAGATACTTAAAAATAAAACACAGAGCAGAAGTGCTTATTCGATTCGTTTTGATTTGTAATTTTCATGGATTAGCCGAATCTTAGTTTTTTTCAAGACGAAGAGAGGCGTCATTTCGTCCAACGTATAAAAGAAAGCTGTTTGCGTGGTTTTTTCTAATGTCTGAGTGAGCAACATAAAAGACAAATGTCTCCGTTTTTTGCTTAGGTAAAAAAGAAAAATAAAACATGTCCGACGAACAATTATGCGCGGCTTGTTAAAGAGCATCTCACCTAAGCATTGTTCTTATACAAGAGTTTGTCTAACAGCTATATTATTCTTACATAAATGCAGCCACACTTAGCAATTTCTCTTGTTCGATCCTTCTACAATTAATTATTTTGGTTTCATTAGTTCAACGAAATGTTTTTATAGATTATGGTGCTTGATCGCGCGGAAGCATTTGGCTGGCATTTCTTTGTTTCAATTCTATTAAGATTTAGCAAAACAAGCTTTGGGTTCCGGCAAATACTATTATAATATTGTCAGGCCGAAATCGTAGTTTCTTTCAGCTGTAGTTCCATTAGATAACATGATTTGCGGGGTTCAAAGAAACACCGTGAATAAAAGTCTGGACAGAAATAATATTTGCAAACAAACCTTATTTTTCGAGATATTGTAAGTTAGTCAGTAAACCTATCGAACTTTCCTTTTATCCACTATGAATCTCACCCAACTGACTTACTTCGACCTCTCAAACATTGCATTCGTTAAATTACATATTCTCTTCCGTTTCGGTCAACATTTTCACCTCATTTTTCATCGACCACAACCTGGTCGACTAGTTTAGCAAAGGAAAGGCTTAAGCTCCAAACAAGCTTTGTTGCTGATTAAAAATTTTGACAATCTAGTTGAATTACCGGATACCGGATGAACAAGATCTATATAAAAAATTCAGGTTTGCTATTTCCAAAATGCTTCCCGTGAAAGGACAAAGCATGATAAAAATAAAAGGAGGATCTGACGATAAAATTCGAACTGAACGCTAGTAAAAATTGAAATAAAAAGAGAACGAAATAGATAGCACTCGTAGGTAACTTTTTTTTAAGTGCTTTAACACACTTATCTTTTAATGCTATTTTCCCACCAATAACGGAGCTTCATTTTCTGCCTTTAAAAGAACACACAACCCACAATTCCTCTATTCGCTCCGACGAAGGGCTAACGCTCGAAACGTCAGCTTTTGTAATCGTTACGGTGGCCAATTTACTATTTCAACTTTGTTGATATATCCAAATTATTTCGTTACTCCCACCGACGCAGCCCCAAACAGTTTCTTTCGAAACTATCAGCCTCTATCTATTAATGCTTGCCGACATTTCAGATGGCCGACAATTGAAGAAAATTTAAATTTCGAGACGGCTGCATTGATTAGTTCAGAGTGACAATAACCATCAAAATAATTTTTTTACAGATTCTGTAAAAATGCATTTTTTTTTCGTTTTTCATTGTTAGTTAAAGCAGACAATTCCTCAATGATTTATGTCCGGCTAAACAAGCAGTCGCCAACAAGCTTCATGGTTTAAAAATTTGTTGATTTCAATCGCTGCGAAAAAAGCATTGAAGAGAAGGGAAATTCACGATTTACCTTGCCAAATCGATGGAAAATTCTTTGCCTGATGGAGCTTCTGGTCAGAATTTTGTCCCACGATTTACTCTATTTACGGAAACGACGCAGAATTTTTACTACACGTCGAGTACTAATTAATTTCGCGGCCCCTTTTTCAGTATTTGTATCTTTTATGACGTCCTTTGTAATGACCGTGTGTTTTTTCTTTATCCACGTATAATGAAGCGAATGATTGCATAGGTATCTCCCTTATTCAAGTGAGTTCTGGAAGGTTTTTTATCTAGGGGAGTCTCTAAGTACTAAAAAGAAACAACAAATTATGAAAACTTTTCCAGTAAACTTACTAATCATAGCAAGCTTGAAAATTGGAAAACGCAATATGTTAGAATACGATAAAAACAAACAAATCAAGTGTGGGAAAGTGAACAGAAAACATGAAAATGACGCTGAAACTATAGAGAAATTTTGTCTTTAGGGCGAGTTTTGAAGTTAGTTCTCATTTTGCCTAAGGGCCAGGGAAGGAAATTATTAACAAATGGTAAACACCACAGCGTACACTATTGAGTTATGGATGCACGCGG